ATATAAAATATATATGTAATATATATATATATATATATATGTATATATAAGCTTGCTTCAAAAAAGATTTGTGGACGCGATGTGAAAAGCTTCTCAGATTCTTTTGAAATCTCCAAAGATTTACAGATATTTCCAACGAACTCTGATAACGTTCCATCGTTTCGAGAGATCGATCCTCAAGGACGCAAACATGAAAATACATTCTAGAGGATCGTGTGAAGCGTTCCTTTTGATTTTACGCCACTTTTTGATCCGTTATCGCTTATAATAGTGCGGTGAAAATACGCTCTCTAAAATATACTGGTATTACATTTATCGATACGTCAATTCCATTCACAAATCCTAAAGTGGATACGACGAACCGGTCGTTATCTTCCAAATTTCAACGTGCAAGATCACAAGAGAAAGACACAGTTTCGAATAATTATTAAATTAAAATATCACTAGCTTTAGAAATAATACACGTATGTACATATATTCATTACTTATTCCTTCATTAATTATAATCTATAATCTTTGTAATCATCTTCCTTTCGCCTACATTACGTGAATACATATAAAATTACTTGCAATTGCAAGTATTTGTTAATTAAAATGTCGTTAATCTTCAAGTAAGTTTTGAAAACTTATTAGATTGAAGTATCTAAAATTTCCGCTAAATAAATTGGAAACGTTTACGCAGAACGCAGTTCTGCAATTTAACAATTGTGCGTAAATGATTACATAAGCTCTTAAAAAACTTAAAAGTAAATAATTTTAATGTCATACTTCTGCCTCGATCCGAAGAGATTTGTATTCAACAATTCTTTCGCGTTTTTGCAGAACCGGCGATGGATGCATCTTCGTGAGGTAGGCGTCTAAAACTTTTCGCACTGTTGGCCTTTTGATGAGAGTTTTCGGTAAGAGCAGCTGCTGGATCGTCCTCGAGGACGTCGAGCGCGTAAAGCGCGAACCTTCATTATGACGTACTGCTTTCTTTTTAAACGACACAGTCAACACAATTAAATATCATTCTATCATGGTCATTCATTGAATGCCAAGGAGGATAAAACGATGCTTGTGTCAAGTGTGTTGTCTAAAAGGAAAGCAACCTATGTAAAGCAAAGCGCTGAAGCTCTAAGATAGCATCTCCACTTCCGCTTGAATGTTCTGGCGTGCCTGCTCCTCCAGCTTGTCACGAAACTCCACGGTGGCGAAGATGTTCGGGATCTGCAAGAAGTTCTGCAACACCTGAAAGACGCAAAAACGTGAAAGAATGACACGAATGTAATCACTCTGTTTTACTTATCTTATTTGCATTAAATTCTTTTCTATACCTTTATAATATTATATATCTATGTATAGAAAAAGAGAAAAAATAGCATATTATAATTCTATCCTCGATTAACATACTCACTTCTCTTCAAAAACTAAGAAACTTCTTTTAGATAATATCTGCCAGATAATTTTGAATAATACTTGAGCCTTTTTTTGCGGAATCCAACGGAATAAGCTTTAATAATTAATCTCGGGATACAGTAATTATTTATTTGTTGTATTACAATTTATTATATTAATTGTTTAATTAATACAATAGTTATAGTAATTATTAAAGCTTGTTTTATTGAATTATTAACATTTTGTAAAAGAAGATTAAAGTATTCTAATCATTATTATAATAATTGAATTATAATTGTTATTATAATAATAATTATTATTATTATACTAGGACAATTTTTGTATATTTTTTTAAGTTCATCGAGAGATTATATTTCTGTCGTTCATATTTTAGAGTTGAACGGGGTGACTCACCTTTAGCCGTAGCGCCGTGTACATGGGTTCGCTGAGGAAAGAGTATTCCCCGCGTATTCGCTCTCTGTACTCGGCGTAACTTTCTGGAGAGGAACCGAGTACTGCCATATCCAGGTCCAGGAAGTAGTGTGCATCTTCGCTGCCGAAGGCACCGCCTACCTTGTGCGCTTCGGTGCTGTGAGTCGCCGCTACTTTGAGCAGAGCACAAGTCTCTTCCCTGAGCTCCGCGTCCTGAAAGATCAAATTAGCCAGATCACTTTTGTGAATGTAATCAACGGACTTTGGGTATTCATATTTTTTATCTCATTTTTTTATTTGCATTTTATTCTCTTTTTCAGATGTGTGCATGTTGACACTCTTCTTTTGTATAATTCACGAAATAATCGATACTATAATTTCATGATAGGTTCATTTTTTTGTCTTATCTCTATTCGACTCCACTAACAAAATTTTACGAAAACTGTGATTAAAATTTTTTTGTTCCAGTTTTTAATATTTTAACTCTTTCTTTTGTGCATAATTTATATTAAATTTTTGTTCATAATGAAGTCTTTATTTTCTTTTACATCATTTTTATTCGGGTCTAAAATATTAACAATTAAATCTTGAAACGATTATAATTAAAATTCTTTCTATTTTTATTCTATATTTTTTCAATATTTTATGATGATGATTATGCTTAAAACTTGTAAAAAATTAACCAATAAAAATTCAGACTGTTTACTCACCGACGGAACTTCGGCCTCATCAGCAAAAGCATTGAAGTGCTCGAGATTTTTATCTTCGCTAAAAACCAAAGCTTTAGGATCATACTCGAAGCTGCAACAGGAGATTGAAGTCAGTTGCTGTCGATGAAAGAGCGACAATATAATAATTCAATTAAATAATAAAATACTGAATACGATAAGTAACATCATCGTGCTGCTAAAATTCTTTTTATTGTTGCACTCACTTTTGAAAGAATATGGCGAGCAAAACAGCTCGCGGATTTTTGAGATTGCTTTTGATTTCGTAGTAGTGATTCAGCTTCTCCCTGAGCGAGTCCAAATTGTGGTACGTGCGTTTTTCCTCCGAGTAGACTTCCTGCAGGCGCGTGAACCAGGAGTCGCAGACCGCTGCGTCCAGGCCCTCCGTAGCTTCCTTCCAGCTGTCCTCCAGCGATGCCATTGCCGCTGAAATTATTCGCGAATGTTATACAAGCATGTAAAAAAGTGTGCGAAAGAAAGAAATGTAAATTGCCGTAAATAATTTTTTAATTAGCAGCTGACATGTTTACCATATGGACTGACACATCGTTTCAATAAGGATTGCAATTTCAGCATGAAGAATTTCAATTAAAACTCATACGATTTACACTTTTCTGGAAATAATTAAATAGTTAATGATTTAATGTTTGAGGAAAATTTAAAAGAATATTAATTGTGTTCCCAAGAAAGGGAATTTATAGTTAAATATTTACGTCAAGACGTTGGTTAATGGGTTAAATTAATTAAAATTAATTAATTACCGCTTGAATTTCCCTCACAAAAATTTAATACTAAGAGGTAATAATTAATTATTAAGCCCTAAATTATAGTACTTTTAATACTCAAAATAAGTAATTAATCACTATCTTTTAATATTAAATTAACTAGTGTTAAATTGGAATTTTATAAATGTTGAGAATTGAAAAGAATACGATTTTATGATAATTTTTGTTTCTGTTTAACAATTTAATGAAGAATTATAATTTCAAGGATTGAATATAGAAAGGAGAAAAAGGACCCTTAGAAATCTAATTTAGTACTGAAAATTACTTATTTTAAGTACTAAAAGTTCTGAGTGATTAATTACATGTTTCGAGTATTAAAAGCACTGAAGGCACACTTCCTTTTAATATTTAAAACAAGTAATTAATTATCACCTTTCAGTATTAAATTTCTGTAAAGAAACTGAAAGACGCTCAGACATTTACATCTATTTACAGATGTGCAGAAGTCAATGCCAAAGAATAACGCAGAAAAGAAACAATCAAATTCGTGCAATGTCTGAAATGAAGTTCATGGACCCAATTAAGGTGAACGAGGAACCCTAGAACACCCTTGGAAACGTTCGATCAGCCACGACATGTCGAGGAGACTGCCAGAAGGAAGAGATCATGAACGCGAGTTCGCACTCACTTAATTTCCGACGGACGAGGAGCCGCGGGCACACACGGTGTTTCGGGACAGCGGGGAAATTACCGGGGCATGATCCACGCGCGAACGCCTCGCGAATGAGCCCCGCTAAACCAGCGGAGCGCTACGTAGCGCCGCGTAGACCGACATACACAACAGTCCACCTCCACTTATTGATCGGTGGTGACTCGTTTCCGAGCTTGTGGCCGCGACAGTTCTCGTCGCACGTATAGAAATCACGCCTCCCTCACGTGCGATTTCCGAGGGAAAATCTTCTTAGTGTATAGGTACGATATTCACGATCCGTTTTTATTTTAAGACTGTCTAAGTTATTAATACAGCCCTCTGATTGACTTATACATCTTAAGACAGTCCCAAATATGATAATCTACTAAATATCCGGCTACTAATAACGGCTACATGATTTGTTTTTTTACTGCTGTACTGGTTTGCATTATTTTCCTTCTCGCTTTCACAACATTTTAAATATATATAGTAAGATCTGTTTTTTTATACCATTTATAATGTCAAATTATATCCAATTTGAATTATTTTTAATCATAATTCCTATCGATCGTCATTGTTTTTATTTATTATGTTGTTAATTTAACTAAAACAATGGAGGTAAATAATTGAATTTAAGAAATGTTAATTATTAATTTGATTTAAGTAATTTGACGCAAATTTAATTTATTATTTACTGCAATTGTACGTTAATACGAACACTTTATTTTAAAATTAAGTATTTTAAAATTAATGTAAAAAGATTGATTAGATATGATTGTTGTTTTCAACCATACGTTTTTATTAAAATAATAATACAGTTAATACTTAATACAATAATACTTTTGAAATTTAAAGTGAATAAATACACTCACCTACATGTATAATATTTGATGAAAGCGAAAAAGAAAAATCTAATAGTTTATAAGATAAGAATAAAAAAACCTATTAATTAATTTAAGTACAAAAATTGTACACTAATTACAAAAAAATTAATGTCTCTTATCTTTGGTTTGCGCAAATCAATTTCTTTTAATTGATTTTATAACAGCGCGAGAAATGCAGTTTTAATATTGTTATGTAATTATTAAATCTATATGCGGCTAAATATTAAATCTATATATTATAAAATCAGAAGTACAGAATATCTTGGCGCTTAATAAGATTTTTTGAATTTATTTGCATTTTCCAGTTCATTAAACTGCGCTCAAATGTAGCCAATCTCAAATAAACGCACTTTTAAACTGAAACTAGAATAATAATATTATAAATAATTTGATAATCAATTTAATACGTATAATAAAAATGCCGATAAGCACTTTTAAATTATATTGCCAACAATTTTTTAATTTTATTATTTACTTAACTGTTTATTTAAGTTAATTCTTTTGTTGATTGTATTTATATTTTATTTATTGTCACATTCGTTTTACATATACACATACTAGTGAGTTTTTTCTTAAATTACTTATATAAAAAATATAATGTAAAAAGATTTATTAGTATTATAATGTAGTGCTGACAATTTTTTAATTAAATCAATTTAAAGAAAATTCTGTTATACAAAATTGATATGCAAAATTTGCTAATTTACTTGATATTATTCCAGGCATATACAATGACAGAAGTTTTTTAAATCCTTCGCGGAGGAACTAGTCGATAGATCGAATATTGCGAGAGTCGAATTTCGATATACGTCTTCGTATCATTCGATGTGGTTCGATATCCGGCACTTGTCAAAGTTATGGAACGGTGTGCACTTCGCGAAAGAGATTATTATGACTTTCGAAAACTATCCAAAGATAATTTGTTGTTGTTCTATATATTGCTGATCGCACTGATCTTTATTACTTTGTTCCTATACGGCTTTTTGTTCAATTCTTCTCATTATGACGATAAGCTCGCCTCGAACTCGAATATACCCGAATACATCGGTAACTTGAGGTAAGTTAACCAAATTAAGACTTGTGCAGGGAAAAAAAGAAAAAGATTAGATTTTATCTTTAAGAATAAGATTAATTTTATCAGGGGAATAAGAAATGTGATACAATCAGTAACGAGAAAATAATAATAAGTAGAAGAAGAAACTGTTATATGAGATAAATACCTTTGACTTAGTAAAGGTCGAAGGTATTTATGTTATTTTCATCTTATTTTTGATAGAAATTTTTTTCAGAATCCTTTATATAATTTTTTAGCATTTTTACGTAAATTTCAGAATTTTTGAACAATTTTCTAATTTTTTAGAAAATTTCAGAGATATATTTTATATGAATTGGAACATTCTTCAAAAGTACTAGGGAAAAAATCTATATATTTTCTCTAGAATTCTTTATATATGTGAATTCTGAAATATTCTAAGATTTCTCATTTTATAATTTCTGAATATATGAATCATGAATAAATGTAAGATATTTTATGAAAGAAGAAATTAGAATATTTCAGAATTTACATATACAAAAAATTCTAAGAAAAAAATATAGATTTTCTCGGTATTTGTGAAATGTTTGAATTTGTATAAAAATTCTGAGAAAAATTTTTATCAGGGTTGAAGAGAACTTTCAAAATGTAAAAAATAAATAGATACATAATTAATAATTACATTAATAAATAATAAATATAATTTACTTAACTTCTCAACATATTAATATCAATACTTCTAACACTGCAAAATATTACCGATAATCTACAGAATTATATAATTTTGGTTTAATTAATACATTAAGGAAATTGAAACTATATTCAAGTTTGACACAGTCTTATTTAATAGTTAAATAATTGTTAATACATTTATATATCTTGAATACGTTAATACTTCAATTCAAAATATTTTTTGTTATGTATGTTGTTTTCAGAATAAAGACAGATCTGTTATATAAACCATTGATAAAAAGATTAATATTTATGGTGATCGACGGGCTAAGGTGGGACTTTATTGCGGGTCCAATAGGAAAAATCGCCATGCCGTTGACGAGTGATATACTGACAAATGATCACGGATGCTTGATACAAGCTAAATTACAGGCACCAACAGTGACGATGCCTAGAATAAAAGTGAAGCAATTTTGTTAATAATTTATTTGAAAATATTCTGCGCTGCGAAGTCAGTTTGTAAGAATTTTTATTTATTAGGCCATGATGACTGGTACAGTGCCAAACTTCGTAGATGTAATACTGAACTTTGGGAGTAAACCTCTGCACAAGGACAATTTGTTGTCTCAAGCGAAGGCACATGGGTATAAATTAATATTTTATGGAGACGAAACTTGGCTCTCTCTATTTCCCAATATATTTGATCGTCATGATGGTACTACTTCGTTTTTTGTTACAGATTTTACAGAGGTAATTAATGTATTATACAAAGTGGTCACGTAAATGGAAAAAGTATAAAATACTTTTATGTGTAGAATAATTAGAGGAATTATATTATATTTAAAAAATGATATAATTTAAACAAAGTGTCTGTTATATATTTTTAGTGCCTCCATCTAGAAAAAAAAAGAACGTGATCAAAATACGTCCCCCTTGAAACCATTCCATTTTTACCTGAAACATTGTATCATCAAAAATAAAATTAAATATTTAAGATTTTCAGTATAAATGGAACACATAATAAGTTATGTGATAAGCTGTTGTCTTATTCATAACAAGATTATTCTTTGGAGACTGACTATTTGTTCAATTTTAAACAGGTAGATAATAATGTGACTCGACATATACAAGACGAGTTGAGTAATGATGATTGGGATGTGATGATTCTTCATTACCTTGGACTAGATCACATTGGTCACGTCGAAGGTCCGTTTGGTCCGTCAATTAAACCTAAATTACAAGAAATGGATAAGATTGTCGCTCAAATAGCCCAAAAAGTTCAGGATTGGGTTAGTGTTTGAAAAATTATCTTAATCTTTGTTTTGTAATCTTTTTCTTTTTATCTGAATAGTATGTAAAAATAGTTTATACATATTATTTAGAAGAAATTTAATATTGCATTATTTTATTTATAGCATAATACAATTCTATCACTTATTTATTTGCTTATTTTTAGAACGGTGATGGAAAACCCACACTTTTCGTCGTCTGCGGCGATCATGGGATAAAAGACTCTGGCGGCCACGGCGGCTCGACGCCGGAAGAAACAACAGTGCCGATTATTACAGTAGGAGGAACTATCTGTGTATATGAAGACACTGAATTAAGAATTCCGATTGAGGTCCAGCAACTCGATATTGCGGTGACATTATCAGCCGCCCTCGGACTACCCATTCCTTCTACTAGTCTTGGCTCCATATTTCTGGACTATATCTACAATCTTCAAGACGATAAGCGGCTCTTCCTCCTCAATTATAACTTAAGACAGTTGTTTGATCATTTTCAGAAATTTACCAACGAAACTGAGTGTAAGCATTTAACTCTTAAGAATTATTCATAAAACATTAAGTATATTTAGATATTTAGATAGCGAGAAGATAATAAATTCAGAATTATAGAAATTTAGAAGCCAAGGAAAAAGAAATAAATTTAATGATACGAAAAATCAAATTTGAGTTTTTAAGATTCAAAAACTTACAATTCATAAATATATCTAGAAGCGTGTGAGGGAATCTTCAAAAAGTCTCCGAAATTATTTTATTTATTTTATGCAGGTATATTAAAACATAAAATTGATCAGCAATAAAGGACCTCATAGCTAAATAATAAGGATGCAAAACAAAACAACTTATTTTCAAAGAAACTTATTTTCTTTCTTGTATCTTTAAGAGTACATATCAACAAAAGTATTTTTCGAAGGATCTAAGCTGGATGAGATCTACATCTTTATTACTTCTTTCTTTGCACACACATTTTATTGTAATAACTGATATCACCTCGTGGATTGAGCTATCTATCGAGCGCGTCTCCGGGTGGCGGATAGGAGGATGACCAGATGACGTAGAGTCTGGTTAGTGGCAGTTATAGCTGATGAGGTAAAAACTGTCGCCGCGGACCAGCTTTCCAAGCCAAGTTGTGAGCTATCGTGATGAGAGCTGCGTGGTACTGGGGGAGCAGTGCCGTTAACGATGCCTCCGGGGAACCGGGCGCCACCCCGGCAGTACACAGCTTTACCCATGCATGCGGGGCTCTGTGTGGGCGGACCGTATATATTCCCTAGCTACTCGTGGGATTCAAATTGGAGAAACCTAATTTTAATCAAAAAATTAATATGAAAACGGAGATAGAAGACCCGCAGAATTCACGCACACCAGTCACTCAATTTTCTGCCTACAGTAATACTGTATTCACTACAAATCAACCGAATGCTGTGGTGCTAAGAAGCAACACTTCATCCCGTTCACGAAAAAAACGAAAAAAACAGAATTACTATCTACGTAACTTTGCCTTTAATTTTTCAACGTCCTCGACGGTGCCACAGGCAATGGCGAGCACATCCACCAGCGTCAAACATCCGCAAAGTTCCATCGACAGCTCTATGTCGAATAGCGAGATTACTAAAAAGCAAAAAACATTTGACAAGAGGATCGAAGTGATTAATCATCACTTAATCAGAGCAATAGTGTCGACGAACAATATGCCTTTGGGTCTAGAACACTTAACACTGTTCCGAGGTGCTATGTCGAAAGAAATCGACAAGATTGTCGATGGATTTATTCCCAAATTTCATGATTCATATATCAAATTTGGCGCTATAGTAATCAAATGTGTCGATCAGTCATCGCTTTACTGGCTTTCGACGCAGATCGACAACATTTCGCCGTGGCCGGAGGCCAACCTCAAGATGATCATTTACAATGAGCTGCAGAAGTATTTTCGTGCTTGCGTATGGATTCCGAATCCGCTCGAGTCCTCCGAGACCGTGCTGAAGCGATTGAATCGACAAAATCCGGATCTTAATACGGCAAACTGGCAAATATTCGCCGAGAACTTGGGAGTTTTCGAAGATGGAAGAAGTGTGTTTCTTGGAGTGCCTGAATCGGATTTCAAGAAACTTGAGGCATCTAACTTTATGGCTTACCTAGGTCTTGGGCAGATCAACTTTGCTTTTAACAACATCAATTAGGAGAGCTCAGCTCGCGACTAGTTCGTAATGTCCAGCTATTTTTTTTAGCTCAACTGAGATAGGTTTTATTCTTTGCTGTACATAAAAGACTACAATCTAAAAAATATTCTTTATATATTCTTCCGTGATATAATAAAAGAAAACAAGTATTTCTTTTGTAAATTAATTTTTTCAATTTTGTATAAAGACAAATAAATGTCAGGACATTTTTGTCCTTATGTATTAAAAATAATTTGACATACGTAAATTAATTTCTATTTTCGTTTTGTGTTTTGTTAATTTTCGTTCTGTATTTCGTTTATTTTCGTTTTGTGTTTTATTTCTTCAGAAAGACAAACTCCAGAATCTATATAATAATAAAAGAAAAAACTTAAACTGTGAGATGTCCATGAAGGCACTAGCTTCTTCGAGGTTTTAATTACTATTAATAAGAGGATGATATGTGTTACATTTGAAACAATTCATCTGAAACTATTCAATCTTTTTTATTAAAAAAAAAAAAGGTTTAGGAATACTAGAATTTTCTTTTGGGCTTCATTTCTCGCGTCGAGATTCTTGCATGAAGTCTTAAAAAGAAATGTTGACTAAAAATCTGCAAGCTGATATGAAATGGTTAATAAGTTTCTTTAAAGAATTAAACAGATATTCTGTTAAATGACTACATTTTCTTTTTATTAGTGCACAATAACAGAAAATTTTTATATCTTACTGAAACTTTTAAAGTGATAATGAATTAAAACAAACTACTACTTATACATTATTTCAATACTATTATCTTTATTGATACGTCGGGGTGTGTTTTATTTATATTTTCTTCTATAAGTAGCACCTTTTATCGTTTCTTGAGATATCTTCACAGTATTCCAAAATTTCGAATTAGCGATCATAAGGCAGATTAAATATTTTTTAGATATATACCAGAAATATTTGAACATCACGGATCTGCATCTTGATTGGTTGAACTCAAATGAGACACAGCGTGATCGATACGACATTGAGAATATTGCCTTGTCTTATCACGCGATTCTTGATGCGATGAAGGAAGAGCTTGTAACTAGTCATTTAGTCATATATGACTTTAGTCTGATAGTTGTTGTCTTGTTCGTCATGTTGCAAGTAAGCAAAATAGATAATTTAGAAAGATCCAATTATTATTTAAGAAATTATATTTAAAGAGGATTTAAATCAAAGTTCTGGTATAAAAAAAAGCCCTTATAATATCTTATAATATTAAATATAATTTTTTATATATAAAATTTATGAAGATTTGTAAAAAAAAAAAATTAATTTTTAATTTTATAAGTTTTTTTCAAATTCGAAGATTATAAAATGAGAAATCTTAGAATATTACACAGAATTCATACATATAAGTAATTTTCAGATCTAGATTTTTTTCAACACTTAAAAGTATTGTAATTCATATAAAAATTAAACAAATTGTTTTAAGTCAAAAGTATATAAAAGCTTTGAAAAATTCTAATTGTAAAGAATAAGAAAGAACAAGAATAAGAAAGATTATCTCTTTTCAGGTGAAAAGAAATCAAAGAGATAATCTTATTAAATATAAATTTTGAGATATGTAACATACTGTAATTAATATCCTTTACTTTAATTTAAGGAATTTGAAGATAATTTTACATCTTTTTTCAGATGGTTTTCATCGCATTTTATGTGGAAACTACAGTTTGGACTACGCGTAAATATACAGTATTTTTTTTTTTGGTGGGATTTTCCCTGTGCTTAGGATTGTATCTTTACACTTTTGGAAACATAACTTCTCTCTGTCCGAGTATCAAAGCTCTGTTGTTCCTACTAATCATCGGCGTTTCATATATTAATTATAATCTGAATTTAAATTACAAGAGAAATGTGAGAACCAATATTTATTTAATTTTCAGTATTAGATAATAAAAAATATTAATTTAAATATTGAAAGTATTTGTTAAGCACTAAATAATTAGAGATATAGATTTATTTAATTTATATAAATTGAACAAAAATACTTTAGTAATAAATATTTTACTACAAATATACCCTAAATTATTTTTATAATATAATAATTGTTATTACAGAAAATTATTGTTTCCTATAGATAAAATTCCTCTATATTTTAGTAATTTTTGAACTCGCATTTTTTTTCGAAGTATATCTCCATTGTGATTTTTTAAATTTTCAATTTTTAATATAGGTTACGCTGGAAATATCGATATACAGAGTGTTAGAAATTATCACGATGATGCATATAATAAGCTTCTGCGGTAGCAGTTACATCGAGGAAGAACATCAGACATGGTACTTTTTCTGGTCTACTTTAATTGCATACTTTGCCTATAAATATTTTACGAAACTATTCGAATTGATGCACTATCGAAAGTGAGTAGAATTTTTTCCCTTCTAATATAATGATAGATTAAATCTGACATTGAAAATATTATTTGTTCACGAAAAAATCAGCATATAATTTCTATAAATTTTTCAGAGATTGCATTATATATATTTTACCATACATTTCACGTATGAGTCAAACAGAAATTAATACATTAATTACATGTACTTTTTTAAATATTAAATTTCGAGAGATCACATTGCGTTTCTATTATCTATTAATTTTAGATTTAAATACAAAAAATGTAATCATTCGCTTATCAATTTATTATTACATAAATTTATAAAAAATAGAATAATAAAATTCAAGTCAGATTTGAATTATCTGTAGCGACACAGCTGAATTTCTTCGCCATCTAATAGTATGGTATATAACAGCAATATAGTAGGATCAATCGAATATTATGTAGAACACTGCGTTATGCTGTTATTGCTATTTTGGGGACATATATTTCTGCGAAAGCTAAACAGCACAGGCAACAAGTGGGCCCACCTGCCTGACATAGCTCAGTGGTTGAAGGAGGACGATAGTAAAATCAACATGACACTCCTACTTTTAACTGGTAAAATGTCTAAATACTAATAAAAGTTTAATCTTTTTCTCAACATAAATATTGAAGTACAGATAGACTTTTTTAATTATAAGCGACTGGGAAATGAGTTGTTTCTTTGTTATGGACAGATATCTTTTACAAAATTTGGCTTAATAGTTTGTGATATTCATTTTCAGCATTTGCTCTTCTAATCTGGATTGCTTATAAATTTGAAGAAGAAGAATACAAGCAGCAGTCGTTGTTTCAGAATATAGCTATCACGGTATGTATATATCTTCGCCATATGTCCAATGGTGCCGTCGTGAAAATTCCATTGTATTCCTCAAGGTAAATTGTACTATATTTATATTACACGTAAATATCAATTTATTAATCGTTTATTAAAGCGACTATACGAATGAATCACACATTTAAGAAGCAAATTTTTGCGTTGTTGCAGTGGAATATATGAGGTACAAATATTTTGGGTGATAATAGTAATATCTCTGATAAACTATGGATACCGAGTGATAAGGAAAATTAAGCATGATACGTATAATTTTATGGGTATAATGGTGTTCTTTATCATAAATATGTGGGTGAGAATCTCAGCGATGTTGCACCAACCGTACAATGTGATCCTGTTACCGATGCAGATCATTGTAAGCTCAATAATTAACACTGTATTGAAAGAAAACGATTCGCTCGATCATGGAGTTTTCTTACATTATTGGTTGGGCAATGTATTTTATTTCTATCAGGTAAATATTTGAAGTCTTTGATTTTTATTAATGCACATGAATAGAATAGAGAAATCTCGAGGAAAATATCTTTGATCAAATCTTTTCTTTCTTTTGGATAATTCTTAGTGAAGCTTGTGTATGTGTGAAAGCATTGTTTTTTTGTAATATTATATTATTTAAATTTATCGGAATTGTTTTTCTATTAGTTAAATTTCTATAAAAAATTTCGTTGGAGATTCAAACATTCTGAAGTTAATATACTTTATATTTAAATATGCTTATAATATAAAAAAATAAAGATTTATCAAATTTTAAATTCTTATAAAGTTTTCTTGGCGACAAACAATACAAAATCTTTTTTATTATAATTAGTTCAATAATTCATTGAGATTGTCAAAGACTGATTACTTATCTCGTACTGTGCATTGATATTTTAGGGAAACTCCAATAGCCTTGGGAGTGTGAACATCGCGGCAGGATATGTCGGTCTACAATCTTACATGCCTTTTATTACCGCTGTGTATTTAATCATTAATACTTATTCCGCGCCTGTCCTGGCTTACTTCCTGCTTATTTACCATTGGGAAATGAGTGAGATATGTCTGCAAGTATTCCGTGAATTCTACAATTATTGCGATTGATTAAATTGGTATACTCGTCATTAATGAGAAAATCGATTTATATTTTTACAGTTCCACAATCCTTAAGAAGATTGTACATACAAACAAGTGTTACATCGCGTGGAGGCTCCTGACAACAACTGTCTACATGTACTTTATCATCTTCCAGCTTAACCATTTGTTTGTGTTGTCGGTGTACTTACCGAAATTGTTATATGAGGTGACATATACCATGACGATGTGTTGCAGCGCATTATTAACGGTGATTGTAATTGCGGTGCAACATGCATTGATTCGTTTTGACGATGTGCACAGATGTAATATTTGCGGGACTGGTCTAAAAAACGGACATGCGTTTGTACAATATCCGGATAATCAAGCGTGATTTAATATATTAGACAAACTAATATACTGCATGAATTGTTGTGAAGTTGCGGCAATTACTGACATAGGTATCTTATGTGCAAACTAAGTTAGCAACATAAGGGGAAAATAGACATCACCAGGTCATAAAATTTCAAAAGCAAACGTTGAGAATTAATAATACGTCATGTTGGTGGCAAAATAACGGCACGCGATGAGCTCGCATTTCATATATAGTATCGTGTTGGCAAACATAATGGCAAATTGATGGCACATATATTTTATATGCCATATTAAGATGCTATTAACTTGCTATTATCAAATTTAGAATTTACATGAGGGCAACATAATGAGAAAGTATTTTGTCCTAGAAAGTAGTTTGTCAACATATATTGCAGTAACATGACGGCATCTTGAATTCATTTGGCTATCAGGGTAGTAGAAACCAGTGC